TCGCAATGCTTACTAATAGCTCCTGTAGCCGGCTCTCATCTAGGAACAGCTGTTGCAGTAGTAACAGCTAGAGGAGGTGGTGGGGTGAGAGTGGGGAGGAGAGGGGAGACATTCAGGATGCCCCCGTCATTATTCAAGCTCCAGCAGCCATTCTAAAAGGAAAACAAAAACCAAAACAAAACAAAACCAAAACTCAGGACAGTTACCCTTAGTAGCCCAAAACTTGAAGTGTGAGACCGCCTTATTAGGGACAGAAATACCTGTAGGTGTTTTCCGGATGGTTGTGTTTTAGATAGTTGTGCTTTAGATAATCAAGCCATTTTTAAAGTATATGCATGTTCCAAATAGTGTGGGGGAGGTTATTTGATTAAAAGGCAATCTGGTCTTTCTCTGGCCTTCAGATGGCATCGTTTGCTACATTTGCCTACCTCGTCTCAGTGGACAGTGATCAAAGGGGTGTGTGTGTGTGTGTGTGTGTGTGTGTGTGTGTGTGTGTGTGTGTGTGTGTGGTGCCTCGTGCTCATATGCTGTAAGGATCCTGAGTACAGGAGCCCATATGGCTTTGTCCTGGCCATCTGTCCCATGTGTGCCATGAGGCAGAAATTCCTGCCCAGGTGCTGGAGCTGGAGAGGGCCTGCAAAACAGAATTCCTCGTGTCTGCCAGATACTGATGAGCTCTCATCAGAAAGTTCCCTCCGTGCTAGCGAAAGCTGGCCTGCATGAAATGAAGGTTCAGGTTGATTTACCTGGTTTCACTTAGCTTTTCTGCGAGTATGTTTTCATTAGTGAGTATTCAAATCAGACCAGGAAGTTAAAATTAGCCTTGTTGTAAACTTATTCGAAGAAAGGGAAAGAGGAAGGGGCCCAGGACGGCTTAGATGTGTCAGGCAGGAAGATCTCGGGTCACTGCAGTAGGTGAGGAGGTGCTGGTGCAGCTGGCCCAAGGCAGGACAGCGTGGACAGGTTTCCTCCTCCCTTGTCACCAGAAACAGATTACTGTCTGGGGTCAAAGCTGGACTCTGGGGAGCAGGGAGATTGGCCCTCATGCTGAGTAGTGAGTCTGATCCTGCATTTAAATCTCTGGAACAGATGATTAACTACAAGGTAGATGGGGGGGGGGGGGGGAGTTGCGGGCAGGTGCCTTCTTGCCGACCTCTTTCCACCTTGCCAATTGCACGGTTGGTGCCATCAGCCATGTTGGTTCTCATCCTCCACAGTAACAGACCCTGAGAAGAGTTGCTGTCACCCCTAGCAAAGAGCTCAGCTCACTGGGGACAAAGAAATATGGATTAAGAATGCTTATTGCTGGCATAAAAACAGACTTCTAATTTCTGTCACAACTCACTGAACAGAAAACACCATTGGATATCCCAGAGCATAACCAGGGGGCCCAATGCCAGCTGCTCTCCCTTATTGGCCCATGACCAGCCAGCCTATGACCCCTGCCAGTGACACACTCTGTCAGCATCTGTCATTACCTAGGACTGGGGCCCAAGCTTCTTTGTGTGTGTGTGTGTATTTGAGAGATAATGCAGTGCAGAGAGTAGAGCACTTGCTTTACACACAACCAACCCAGGTTTGATTTCCAGCATCACATATAGTCCCATGATTTTGCCAGGAGTGATCCCAGAGCACAGAGCCAGGAATAACCTTAAGAACCCCCAGGTGGGGCCCAAAGCCTGAAAAGTTAAAATTATGCAATAAATTATATATATATATATCACATTTAGTACTACGGATTTATTTCTAAAAAAATGTGTTCAAAATATTTTCTAATTTTGGGAAATTTTTTTCTTTTTCATCTATAGAATAAATTTTCTAATTTCTAGGGGAATTTGAAAACTTGTATGGTGTTTTTTATTATTGATTTACCATTTAATTTTGTTAAAAGCAAATATATATTTTTGTGAGTCTAAAGTGTCTTATTTTTTATATTTATTTATATTTTATTTGGAGACCACTTTCAGCTGTACGTACGGCTTACTCCTGGCCCTGCACTGTGGTATCAATCCTGGCAGGCTTGAAACACTGAATGTGGTGCTGAGGATCGAACCTGGGTCGGCTGCATGCAAGACAAGTGCCTACCACTGTAGTATCTCTCCAGCCCAGTGTCGTTTTTGTTTTTTAAGGAAAGAGGGGGGCTGGAACGATAGCACAGCAGTAGGGCGTTTTCCTTGCACGCAGCCAACATGGCCGACCCGAGTTCGATTCCTCCACCCCTCTCAGAGAGCCCGGCAAGCTACCGAGAGTATCTCGCCCGCACGGCAGAGCCTGGCAAGCTCCCCGTGACGTATTCGATATGCTCAACACAGTAACAAGTCTCATGATGGAGACGTTACTGGGCCTGCTCGAGAAAATCGATGAACAACGGGAGGACCGTGACCGTGAAGAAAAGAGGGACTTGAGAAATAGCATAGAAATTAAAGTCTTGCCTTACACCCTGCCAACCCCAATTGGAATCCTTGACACAACCATATGTTCCCCAACCACCCTCAAAGGATCACTAATCAGCACAGAGCCAGGAATAGTCTCTGAGCACTGTTGAGTGAGGCCCCAAACCACTTTCCACCACAAAAAAAAAGGGATTGGGGAAATGGCTCAAAGGATGGAAGCTCATGCTTCAACCTGTGGAGGCCCAACGTTTGATCCCTTGCACTCTATGACTTTGTTGGCTTCTGACCACTGCTAGAGAGGTTAAAAGATATATATTTGTTTTAGTTTTGGGTCTAAACTGGCAGTACTCGGGACTTACTCCTGGCTGTGCTCAGGGATCACTCCTGGCAGAGCTTCATGAATCATGTAGGGTGCTGGGAATTGAACCTAGGTTGACAGCATGCCAAGAAAGTGCATTACCTCTGTACTACTTCTCTGACCCCTAAAAAATTTTTGTAGCTAAAATAAAGAAAATATGGAATTCAACTATGTAAGCAATTTCAAAGGATACTTTTCTCATTCACATACGTGAAAAATAAAAGTGGGAAAAAAAATGACCGTGAAGGAAATTCTCATTAGCAGTTTGGCTTTAATATAGTTTGATTTTATTGTAATTATCTAACATTTAAAATATTTATTGCTGAATTTTCACTTTTCCCTTTGCAATGTTCCTACTTAAGTTGGATATTAATGGCCAATGTTGCAGTTTTATCATTTTTAGCAATAATAGATGTAAGAGAACATCATTAGTGTGGTGTAGAACTATTAAGAAACCCTTTCTCACTTGGATGAACTTAAATCAGCCTCCTTTTATTGATTTTTGCTCATAACATAATTTTGAAGTTTAGCTCAGATAATAAAAGAAGAATTCCTCTGGTATTATGGGTAAAATTCTTGTGTTGTAAACTTGCAGTTCATTGCTGGGGACTGTTACAGCTATTTCATATATGAATCTTAGATACATACAGCAAAAAAGAATATTATTTTGTGATAGTCTTAATATCTATGTATTTTCTTTCCTTTTATTGATGTGAGGCTTCATCTCATCCTTATCACAACAGGATCAAATTCCTCCATAAATTAACATATATTTTCTGTTGGCAAGTTCATGTGTCGTATTTGTGTGTGAGATAAGATGTAAAAACACAGTATTTCCAATTATGTGATCGTTTTCTTTGAAATGTTATGTTATTTCTTTATATAGAACTACAAAGACTACATGGAGAGTAGAATGATTTTTTTTAATTTGAAATTCCTTCATTAGATTAGCCTCCAAAACAGAAAAAAAAGTCTCCCCCAAAAGTCGTCAACAACATTTATTTACAGGGTAAGAAATTCACTCTCCTGTTCATTCTCCTAGACCGCTATTAGGGGCATCTTAGGACTGTTCTCAGCCATGCTACCCAGTCAGTTTGAACCTTCAATAAGCCAGGGCCGTTGTATGTCACCTGTAAAAATGTGATGGTGAAGGACACATTATATTTCCTTTTGCTTTTGAATCCAGAGGGAGAGAGAGAGTAAGAGAGAGAATAGGATGTAAGATTCGCAATGCTCAGGGCTGACTCCTCGCTCTGCACTCAGGAATTATCCCTGGCCGTGCTCAGGAGACCATATGGGATGCTGGGAATCGAACCCGGGTAGGCCGCCTGCAAGGCAAACGCCCTACCACTGTGCTATCGCTCCAGCCCCAGGAAGTAAGATTCTTGCTTTGCATGCAGCTGACCCCAGTTTGCTCCTGGCACTGAATAGGGTCCCCCTGGGCACTGTCTGGAGTCACTCAAGCACAGCACCAGGAATCGCCACTGCATCTCCTGGTGTTGCTCCATGACATACAGTCAAAAAAATTCTACTGACATAATACATCATGATTCCCATTCTATGTTCATTGGCAGTCAAGAGAACTGGTAACTCCACTTTATCAGTTATCCTTCTTATAGCTAAAGACTGCTTTTTCACTTCCCTTGATTCCACACCCCCCCTTCACCCAGTCAAAATATCAACATGCTTTTTTCCAAAGGACTCTATTCAAATGAGTTCATGAGCGAGATCTTTGCTTTCTTAAACACCTTGTGTCAACAACAAAAAAAATTAGCCCCATAGGAACAAAGACTGTAATTAATATTTCAATCCCAGCCCATGATTCTTTGGTTCATTCCTGCAGCAAATGTTTAGTAAACCCAGGACACACCACCGTGCAGATTTGAACTTTTGGAGAAAAACTTCAACAGAATGACCAAACCTAGGGAACTTCTGGTGACCCGAGACCCGGTCCTTCAAGTCTACTGCTTCTCTCTTCTGTTGCTAGACTGTTGGCAGTTTCTCTGTTCAGCCACCTGCCCATCCAATGGTTGAGGCAAAACGAAAATGAGTTCTTGTTGACAGTTGCAGTGAAAGGTGGAAAGTGTTGGCTAAATTGAGGTATTTGAATAATCTGTGGGTTTTCACCTCCCCGTAACTGTGGGCCCCTGAGACCAGTCTCAGCGGGAACTGGCTCCCTGGAGAGTGTGCGGAGGCCCTCTTGGGGGGTCCTGGCCTTACCGTACATCTGCTGTGCCCTCTGTCCACAGTGCTGCACTTGAGATGGAGCTACTGCCCCTCTGGCTCTGCCTGGGTTTGCACTTCTCGGCCGTGGAATGGAGGACTGGAAACAGAATGGCCGCAGCGGCATCCCCGGGGGGCTGCATGCTGGTGAGTTTTCCGGGGAGAACTTGGTTGTCTGTTTGCTTGTGTCCTTGTTCTGTTTGTTTGCGAAGCAGGGAATGGATGAGTCCTCATCTCTTGGTGCTCTGTGCAAGCCGCTCCTGAACCGTCAGTTAAAGTGATGGCTGGGAAAGAACAGGCGGTTCTTGTGTCCCTAACTTCCCCCCTCCTTTCCCGCCTCCCCCCTTCCTCCCGCCAACTTCTTTAAAAATATTTTTTTAAATTTTTATTAGTGAGACACCATGAGGTACAGTTGTAGACTTACAAATTTTGTGCTTGGGTCTCAATTATACAATGATCAAATACCCATCCCTCCACCAGTGCCCATTTCCCACCACCATGGATCCCAGTATCCCTCCCACTCTCCACCCCCCCATCCCACCCTGCCTCAGTGGCAGGGCATTCCCCTTTGTTCTCTCTCTCCTTTTGGGTGTTGTGCCGCCAACCTCTCTTTGTCAGAGCTGCTGAAGACAGCACGACCCAGAGTCAGGCCGGGTTGATCACCTGCAACAGAGCAGAAGGCCTTGTTAAGATTCTGGCCGCTTCAGCTTCACCCATAAAAGCTCTGGGCGGGGAACATGAAATGGGAGAAGTCCTGCCTCTGAGCATGGAGGCGCTGACAGCAGAGAGCAACCGCATGCACAGCTGTGCTGCTGCCCCAGTTGCCCGCCCCGCACTTGAGGCCACAGCCCAGACCCAGGGCCACAGCCTCGGCCACACTTCAGCGTAGAGGAGCCGGAGTGCTGAGGAGTGCTCTCAGCTCAGAATGGTGCGTTTTCAGCCGTGTTCATTCTCCTTCGCCTAGGAATTGATAGAATGACAGACATTTGCTGAAGAAGCATACATTTATATAATGTATGTTTGCCTTGAGTCCTCTTCTAGATCCAGCACGGGGAAAACAGATTGGATGTCAGGGTTAATGCTCCTTTAAGTCGAAAATGTGTTCTTCAAGCGGGTGAATCTTCAAAACCCAGCTGGTCATGGTTCTTAACCACTTTCAGTAACCTCTAACCGCGAGGTTGGAGTTGACTCCAGTAGGGGGTAGGACTTATGAGTCAGACCACAACCCAAGCCCACCTGTCGCTAGCTGTTGGAATTGGGGGTGGGGGAGTGGGGGAGGGCACTCTGCCTCAGTTTCCTCATCTGTAAAATATGGAGAAAAGAATGCCAACTGGGGAAAACGCATAATGCCAACCAATAATACCATGACGCTGGCTTGTTACAATGATCAAATAAGTTAGTCTCTGGGAAATGCTCAGAACAGTGCTGTGTGTGCTAAGTGGTGTGTGTTTGATCTTTGTTATTTGTGTTTGCTGTCAGGACTTCCTCCATCCCCTTAGGAAGCAATCAGAGATTAGCTTCACAGGAGCTAGACCCAGTTCCTAGCAGAGGAAAAGGAGGGATAGCTGGGTCAGATGGTCAGATTATCCTCTGACCTGATAATCTGGAGTTGGGCTCAGCATCCAGTGAGCGTGGGGGCAAGGGGCGGGGGTGTTTCCTCTAGCTGGGCAGAGGGTGGAGGCCACTGCCCAGCGCTGCATTAATCCCATGACATAGTAATACAGTGGGTTTTGATTGGATGCTGATGGCCTGGTGGTCCTTTGATAGCATTTCAGGGGGTACAGGGAATGGCAGTGGTGTGACCGCACTACTGCAGAAGCTGCAGAGAGATGGAGTGAACTGCAGCCTTTTCCAGAGACGCCCCGTGCAGGGGAGGCCAACACTTATTCAAATAGAGAAACGTCCCTTGTTTCTGCAGGGTAAGATTCACTGTTGTATAGTGTCAACACCCACCCCCACCCTCACCATTGCTGCATGATTGTGAAACAATATTAATAAAAATATCCGGAGGCCTGGGGTGATCACACATAAGACTGAGCACATGCTTTCCCATACACCCAAGAGTTTACTTTAGCAGATAAAGAACTTGAGAAATTCATTGCCCAGGGGTCAGTGGATGGCACATAGTAGGTGGCAGAGCTGAAGGAAAGGCAGAGTCCAAATCTGTGCTGCTTCTGTCAGGAGAACCACCCCCCCCCCCCCCACACACACACCCCATTCCACATTAGACAAGCACTGGCCTGGCTCCGCTGCTAAATCTGCAGTGAGGAATAACACTGCTTCCAGCCTTATCACTGAAACCTTTTTCCTGGATGCCTAGGTGGGGTCCTATGGCTGATGGTTTCTGCCAGTCACAGTGAATCCCCTGCTTAGCTCCAGACTCTGAAGCTGGCAGTTTTTGCGTGACCCGCTTCACCAGCCTCCCTACTCCACCCAGCCATGGTAGAATGGCTCCTTACTCCTCCCCAGATCCCCCCTCATTCCTCAGGACAGTTCTGGGTGGCGACGTGCTCTCAGGTGTTTGAGCTGTGGTCTTTATCCATCCAGAATGCAGACTTGCCTGCAGGAAGAATTCCCGTTTGTCAAATGGAGCCATCCCATTTGGCAGGTCCCCTGAGCCACCTGGCGGTGATGGATAGAGAAGTCACAACGCAGTAGGACCAGTTATATAAGCTGAACCCACCGTGTCAGCTGCTCCACTTCTTATCTCATTTCACAGCAATCCTCTGAAGCAGGCTCAACCTTCCCATATTTTCAGAGGAAATTATAGACTTAATCTAAATTATTTGCCCACAGTTACACAGTGCAGACAACAGAGGTGGGATTCATACCCAGGCCTTTAGTTAACTTCTCAGAATTAACCCAAACAGCAAATAGGGTTGGAACACGGGGACTGCTTCCCTACCATGCTGTGGGTGGTAAGTGAGGTCTGGGGCCAGAGATACAGAACAGGGGGCAAACGCTTGCCTGGCATGCCGCAGACTCCGGCTTGATCCCCGGCACCACATATGGTCTCCGGGGCTCTACAAAGAGTGATTTCTGAGCACAGAGCCAGGAGTAAGAGCAGGGGGTGACCCCCGGGGGAGGGGCCCAATATAAACGAACCAAAAAACCCAGTTCTGTGAGGCCTGGAGCTCAGCTCCACGTTATTTGCTGGGATGACAGAGAACGAGGAAAAGTGCTCCAGGGCCGGTCCTCCCAGCAGGCAGGAAGCGTACGAGCGACGAAGTGAGTTTTGCGTTCCGTCCGCTCTTTTTTCTTTTCTTTTCTTTTTTTTTTTTTTTTTTTTTTTTTTTTTTTGCTTTTTGGGTCACACCCGGGGCTGCACAGGGGTTACCGTATGGGATGCTGGGAATCGAGCCCGGGTCGGCCGCGTGCAAGGCAAACCACGCCCTACCCGCCGTGCTATCGCTCCAGCCCCTCACCGCTGTGCTTTGGACCTAGGTGGACGGGACCGCTGACTGTCGAGGGCAGAACCTGGCTTCGGTGCCCGGCGACCTCCCGCCGTCCTCCCGCTCGCTGCTCCTGGACGCCAACCCGCTGCGGACGCTGGGGAACCGCTCGCTGCAGCGCTACCCGCTCCTGGAGAGCCTGAGCCTGCGGGGCTGCCGTCTGGGCCGCCTGGCGCGCCGCGCCTTCCGCGACGGGGCGGCCCTGCGCAGCCTGGCGCTGGCCGACAACGCGCTGGGCGAGAGCCCGGGCGAGACGGCGGCCGCGCTGCGCCGCCTGCGGGGCCTGCGCCGCCTCGACCTGTCGGGGAACGGCCTGACGGAGGAGGCGGCGGCGCGCCTGCTGCGCAACCTGTCCTCCCTGGAGTGGCTGTCGCTGGCGCGCAACACGCTCATGCGGCTGGACGAGGGCACCCTGGCGGGCCTGCGGCGCCTCCGGGAGCTGGACCTGCAGCGGAACTTCATCTTCGAGATCGAGGGCGGCGCGTTCGACGGCCTGCCCGAGCTGCGGCGCCTCAACCTGGCCTACAACAACCTGCCCTGCATCGTGGACTTCGGCCTCACGCAGCTGCGCCTCCTCAACGTCAGCTACAACGCGCTCGAGTGGTTCCTGGCGGCCGCCGACTCCGACGCGGCCTTCCAGCTGGAGACCCTGGACCTGTCGCACAACCAGCTGCTCTTCTTCCCGCTGCTGCCGCAGTCCAGCCGGCTGCACACGCTGCTGCTGCGGGACAACAGCATGGGCTTCTACCGCGACCTCTACAACGCCTCGTCGCCGCACGAGATGGTGGCGCAGTTCCTCCTGGTGGACGGCAACGTCACCAACGTCACCACCGTCAGCCTGTGGGAAGAGCTGGCCTTCAGCGACCTCTCGGCGCTCCGCGTCCTGGACCTGAGCCAGAACCAGTTCCAGTACCTGCCCAGCGGCTTCCTGAGGAAGATGCCCGCCCTGGCCCACCTGAACCTCAACCAGAATTGCCTGAGGACGCTCCACATCCGGGAGCACGAGCCCCCGGGAGGACTCACGGAGCTGGACCTGAGCCAGAACCACCTGGCCGAGCTGCACTGGGCGCCGGGGCAGCCCAGCTGCCTGAGGAGCCTGCGCTCCTTCAACCTGAGCTCCAACCAGCTCCTGGGGGTCCCCGCTGGGCTCTTCGCAGAGGCCAGGAACATCACTACAATTGACCTGAGCCACAATCAGATCTCACTCTGTCCCCCTCAGCCGGCTGGCCTGGGCCCCGGGGGCTCCCCGCCTTGTGTGGAATTTAGGAACATGGCCTCTCTGCAGCACCTCTCTCTGGAGGGCTGTGGGCTGGGAGCACTACAGGACGGCGCCTTCCAGGGCACCTCCCTCACCCACTTAGACCTGTCTGGCAACAGGGGGGTTCTGAATGGGAGCATCGCCCCTCTCCGCCACGTGGCCCGCACTCTACAAGTCTTGTCTCTCAGGAACCTGGGCCTCAGCCCTGGCTCCAAGGAATTGGACTTCTCCGGCTTCGGGAACTTGAGGGCCTTGGATCTGTCAGGAAACGCCCTGACCAGTTTCCCCAGGTTTGGGGGCAGCCTGGCGCTGCAGACCCTCGACCTGCGGAGAAACTCGCTCACTGCCCTCCCGACGAGAGCCCAGGCGGAGCCACTTCTGAGAAGCCTTCGCACCCTCTACCTCAGCCAGAATCCCTATGACTGCTGTGGGGTGGAGGGCTGGGGCGCCCTGCAGCGCCTGCATGCCGTTGCTGACGGGGCCATGGTCACATGCAACCTCTCCTCGAAGATCATTCGCCTGAGAGACCTGCCTGGTGGCAGCGTCCCTCAGGACTGCAAGTGGGAGCGGGTGGACATGGGCCTGCTCTACCTCGTGCTTATTCTTCCTAGTTGCCTCACCCTACTGGTGGCCTGCACGGTCATCTTCCTCATGTTCAAGAAGCCTCTGCTGCAGGTGGTCAAGAGCCGCTGCCACTGGTCATCCATATACTGACCGGGCTGGGGCTGCCCTCAGAAGCCAGCTCTGAGGAAGGGGCCAGGTCTCTGTCCAGTTTCAAGGCCTGAGGCTGAGGCCAAGGAATGATGGTTTAAATTCAAGTTGAAAAGGTTTTCATTCTTTAGTCACCCCAATTTTTCATCCAGACCATGTCTCCTTATCCTCTGATAAAATATTTATTAAGCAATGTGTCACAATTTTTTTAAAGCGTGTCATAAATATTTAAAGACTCAAATGCAACTTGTGGGGATTTTTTTTTTGGTAAAAAATCATCTTTGGTGGTTTCCCTTAGATTCTTTTTGCGTGTGTGTGAAGTAAGCAGTTTTTATAAAGGGCACTAATTATGAGGCGAGAATGTGGACTTCTCTAGAAAGAGATACAGATCAAAGAGTCCCGAAAATGAAAGTGTCACCCTGAGAGAGGGCACAGGCAGCTTCCGAGTGGTGTGTCAGAAAGCAGAAATTTCACACTGACTTGGGATGAAGGCAGACCCAGAGTGAAGAGCCACTGAGGAGCTGCTGCTGCTGCTGCTTTTTTTTTTTTTTGGTTTTGTAAGTCTCATTGTTTTTAGTTTTTATTTTTTTTAATCTTAATGAATCACCATGAGATACAATTACAGACTTACAAACTTTCGTGATTACATTTCAGTCATACATTGATCGAGTACCCATCCTTCCACCAGTGCCCATTCTCCACCACCGATGTTGCCAGTATCCTTCCTGCCATCCCCACCCCATTCCCCCTACTGAACTGCTTTGGGAAGCTGATTTTATAGTATTAATTTCCCCCCAAGCTGCCTCAGCTTGTGTATGTGTGTGTGTGTGTGTGTGTGTGTGTGTGTGTGTGTGTGTTAGCCACACCTGACATTGACTACTTCTGGCTCTGTGCTCAGGGACCACGTACAGTTCTGGGGAGTGAAACTGTGACCAGCCGGTGCAAAGCAGGCACTTCATCCCTGTACTGTCTGGTGTCTCAGCTTTGAGGAGTGTTAATGAGAAGGACTTTTAGTCTCTCTCTCTTTTTTTTGTAATCTCTTCGATTATGTTTTAATTCCCTTCCCTTGGTGACATCAGTGGAGTTGGTGAGAAAGGGTGGTGATTCAGAGCTATTCTACAGGGAAGCCTCCAGGAATGTCTTGGAGTAGTGAGGGTTGGTGTGTAGGGGTTTCACCAAAGAAAAGAATGTCAGTGTGGAGCTGAGGCATCTGAAGCAAACTCTTTTTTTTTATTAAAAAATGTTTTTAATAGTGAGACATCATGAGGTACAGTTGCAGACTTACACATTTTTGTGCTTGGGTTTCAATTATACAATGATCAAATACCCATCCCTCCACCAGTGTGCATTTCCCACCACCACAGATCCCAGTCTGATCCAAGCCTACCCGGATTTGGGCCAAGCATCCTCCACCCAGATCCTCTAAATTCCAGTAGGCGGGGGTCACACCTACCAACTGGCCCCCTGGCGCCGTGTAATCCCATCAGCGGCCAAGACTTAGAGACTATAAAAACCAGATCTCTGAACTGCGCAGCCGCATTTGCGGCCGCGCGACATTTTATTATGACATCTTATTATCTCATTCCTACTTTGGACAAATTGGCAGGCTACCAAATGTAGCCTGCCCACATGGCAGAGTCTGGCAAACTCTCTGTGGCGTACCCAATATGCCAAATACCAGTAACAATGATGGGTCTCATTCTCCTAAAGAGCCTTGAATATAATCTTAGGGCTAGGATGAAGGAGACGTTACTGGGGCCTGCTCGAGGCAATCGACAACAGATCCCAGTATCCCTCCCACCCCCCATTTCCCCCATCCCACCCTGTCTCTGTGGCAGGGCATTCCCCTCTGTTCTCTCTCTCCTTTTGGGTGTTGTGGTTTGAAGCAAACTCTTGCCTATTGTCCTTGCTTTGTCCTATCACCTCAGCTCGAGTGGACCTGTGGTAGGGCCATCACCGGGGCCCTGGGTCCATATCTGACTTATGTTAACTTTCAGGTCACACCAAGGATGCTTAGGAGGCTGTGCCCAGTAGCTCTCAGGGGGCCATTTGGTGGTAGGGTTAGATCCAGCCCTCCTTCCTGTAGAGAATGGCACTGGGTTTGTACCTGGAGTCTGTGCCAGGCAAGTGTGACTGTTCCATGAAGAGGTTGAAGCAGAACAACAACTGAGTCCTGAGAGGAACTGAACACCACACACAGTCCTTGTTCTGAAGGAAAATGAAGATGATTGTGGAAAGAAGTAGATTCTGCTAGAATTCCCTGCGATGACTCTAGTGGCAGAAGTACCTGCTTGCAAGCATGAGGCCACGAATTCAGTCCCTGATGCTTCCTATGTGCCCAGTGAAGCCCCGGCAGTCTGTTTGGGACCCTAATGCCACCCAGAATGTAACTTCCAGCTCACCGTAGCTAGTGTGTGTGACTACTGTAATGAAAGATTTGCGCACATCTTGAACACATCTTGGGGACAGGAGTATGATCCCTGGCGACCTCATGTATGTGAGCAGCTCAGACCTACCAGAAGACCCACCTAAACAAGTGCGACCCCAGGGAGCTCCTCTACAGGTGTGTGAAACCTCTGTCCTCACAACGTCACAACAGCAACAGGAGGCAGGGAAGGAAGGAAAATAAGTGAATAAATGAAACAATGCCTATTGCCTGGCTTGTTCCCTCTGCTTATTAAATCATCAAAGTGCAAGGGGCTGAAGAGATAGTACAGGAGGTAAGGGACTTGCCCTGCATCCTGCTGACCCAGGTTCGAATCCCCAGCACCACCTACGGGTCCCTGAGTATGGCCAAAAGTCATTCTTGACCACAAAGCCTGGAATAATCTCTGAACACCACCCAGTCCCCAAACAAAGTCAAAAGGACAAAAAGGATTGGTAGGGGGGCAGAGGGTGAGGGTGTGGAGCAGATGGAAACCCACAAACTGATAGCTCTTACTGTGAAGAGTGGTGTCATCAGCAGAAACATGCAGAGATAAAATCAAAGAGATAATTACTTGGCCAGAGCGGAAGCTTTCCTTGGAGGTGCCACAGAGGCAGAAACAAAACGCTTTCTGTAAACTCCACACTCCGTAGCACTGGTGCATTTACCCAGGGGTAGTGATCAACCCCCATCTGCACCTCCAACTTTCCTCTGCATGTCTCTCTCTGTCCCACATGACCCAGCCTTTCTAGGTCATCAGCCCACCACTGATGTTCAGAGGTGATTTTCTATTTTTTATTTTTTTCTCTTTTTTTGGTCACACCCAGCGATGCACAGGGGTTACTCCTAGCTCATGCATTCAGGAATTACCCCTGGTGGTGCTCAGGGGACCATATGGGATGCTGGGAATCGAACCCAGTTCAGCCGTATGCAAGGCAAATGCCCTACCTGCTGTGCTATCGCTCCAACCCCTATTTTTCATTTTTGGAAGTAAGCACAGCTACCAAGTGTGTGTGTACAAGCCCCCGGTCCATGCAACAACAGCAGTAGAGCAAGGTAAAGAGATTTTGTTTCAATTATTTATTTAAATTAACTTAATTTTTTACAAAGCTGTTTATGATTGGGTTTCAGTCATACGATGTTCCAACACCTGTCCCTTTACCAGTGCAATTTTCCAGCATCAGTGTCCCCAGTTTCCCTCCCATCCCGCCAAGCCTCTCCCCTCACCACTCCACCTGCCTCTATGGCAGGCACCTCTCTTCTCTTACTCTCATTCTCTTTCTGTCTCATTTTAGGCATTATGGTTTGCAACACAGACGCTGAAAAATCATCAGGTATATTCCTCTACCTACTTTCTACACCAAGTTCCTGTCCAGAGTGATCATTTCTAACTATTATTGTCATAAGGGGGGGAGGTATTTTGGTTTGAGTTTTAGGATATATCCAGCATCACTCAGGACTTCATCCTGACTCTGTGTTCAGAGTTCCCTTCTGGCAGGGCTCGGGGAACCAGGGATCAAACAGGGGTCTTTTGCATACAAGGCAAGTGCCTTACCCACTGTGCTAAACCTCCAGCACTGGGAATGGGATTTTTTTAAAAAAGTTTTTCAGTGACTGCTTCAAAGTTCTGCTTGTGTCTTGCTCCAAAACAGAAGCACACAGCTTTTGTTTCCATTGTGCTGTCTGTGTGCAAGGACCATCCTCAAAAGGGTTCAGACTGCTTTTTGTCCTGTGTGCCTTCCTCAGGCATACTCTACTGCCACCGCCAGAGCCTTGGGACCAAACATATTGGATTCCAAATACTGTAACAGATTAAAACACATCCCAGGGCAGGAAGATAGTGCAGCAGGGAGGGCACTTGCCTTGCACGTGACTGATCCAGCCTTAATCAATCCCCCGAACCCCAGATGGTCCCCCAAGCTCTCCTGAGTGCAGAGTCAGAGGTAAGCCCTGAACACCGCAGAGTGTGACCCCAAAATAAAAGAAAACACTGAGTCTGGAGTGATAGCACAGTGGGTAGGGCACTTGCCTTGCACACGGCCAACCCGGGTTCAATCCCTGACATTTCATATGGTCCTCGAGCACCGCCAGGAGTGATTCCTGAGTGCAGAGCCAGGAGTAACCCCTGAGCATCATTGGGTGTGACCAAAAAAGCCAAAAAAAAAAAAAGAAATTTATCCCTGGACACGTCAAGTTTGTAACAGATAATCCTTCCCTTTACTTATTTCAAGGGTGTTTAGCTTATCAAAGGCAGCACAAAAGCATTTTACATACAAGAACCTGCAGAATGATAGAGATCCTGAGTCCAGGCCCAGTGGCAAATCCAGAGCAAATTTCCGCATCAGTAGCTCATGTGTTGCTGAGACAGAAGAGTTTCTTGCATTGCTTTCAGAATCTTAGCGGAAGTGGCATTAGCCCATCACAGTTTGAAAATAGTGTTTCCTACTGTTCCCCAAAATCAAAACAAAACAAAATAGCTGTCTACATTTTAAAAATTTTTTTAAAAATTTTATTGAATCATCTTGAGATAGAGCATTACAAAACTGTTCATGATCGGGTTTTAGTCATACAAAGTGCCAATACCCATCCCTCCACCAGTATAATTTCCCAGCACCAGTGTCCCCAGTTTCCTTCCCATCCCCCCATACCACCCCCTCTCCAGCCTGCCTTTATGGCAGGCACCTAAAACAGAA